TTTTGCCAAAATTAAACATGACCAGATTGTCACAATTTGGCCATGAGAACCTCCTAACCTGGCTCCTTCATCCTTTTAGCATCACCAATTTTTCTTACAACAACATCAGATTACAAATCCCTTCTAATTTTTTCCCGCCCAGTACATGGAAGAGCTATCTTCCAAAAAATCCTCATTCCTTTTAGTGAAAAATGCTGTGTGAGACTGAACTCTAGGTGCTGGAAATCATAAATGGTGCTACTGTGGTATCGAGTGGTTGTGCTGGTAACAGACCTAGATAAGGCGCTCAGTACTCAACTTGCAAACAGCTTTCAGTAAATTACAAATGTTTAGCCCACAAGCAGCTAAAAGCTTAATAATAAAAATGATCAACAAAGTGCTGGAATTAACCATAATATACAATTCATTCTTTAGTTAACTTTACATGATTCAAAGGATAGACCTATTTTATTTCACACTACAAGGAACACATTAAGGTACTTATAGGTTTATTTGTCCATTCTATGAGGAAATGCCATACAAAAATTAAGCTAAATTTCTATTTGCCAATGTGGTGAAATTTGAAATAGAGATTCAAATAACTTAAGCAAAATGCAGAAGAAAAGATACATATAAAAATTAAAGAACACAAAATTATATATTTTTCTATAAGTACATGTAGATATATTCTAGAAGTAGTGCAGGGAAGGTGAGCCCCATAATTAGGGCTTACCCTGGGAGAGTTCTTGACTTCACCCAGGAAGGAATTCAAGGATGAGCCAGTAGGGTCAGCAAATTTTCTTCAAGTGGCAGTGTACAGCAGCAGCAGAGGTACTGCTGCTTGTGGAGCAGGGCTACCTCATAGGCAGTGTACCCAGAGTAGCAGCTCAGAGGCAGTTCTGCAGTCATTCTACATCCACTTCTAGTTATTTGCAAATTAACAGGTGTATTATGCAGAAGTTTCTAGAAAAACGGTGGTAACTTCTGGATTGTCAGGTTGTTGCTATGGAAAGGGGTGATAACTTCTGGATATAGCCATGGCAAGGGTAAACTGATAGGGCACACTGGTGGGCATGTCTTATGGAGAGGTGCTTCCAACTCTTCCCTATTTTAGCTAGTCCTCAATTTGCTCTGATGTCTGAGCCCCACTGCCAGAGTTAAGTCTTGCCTGCTTGCACACTTGTAGTACCAGCTTCTTAAGAGGCTGAGGCAGGAGGATCGCTTAAGCCTGGGAAGTTGAGACTGCAGTGAGCCAAGATCATGCCACTGCACTCCAGCCTGGGCAACAGAGCAAGACCCTGTCTCAAAAAAAAAAAAAAAAAAGAAAAGAAAAGAAAGAAAAAAAGAATAAAGTCTCTTTTCCTACCTTAGAGTATTCCTCTACTGCCCTCTGAGATTTTAACAAGAGTACTCAGTTGAAACATGAAAAATGAGAACTGATGGCTTCAAGTTAGTTTTATTACTCAAAATAGTTTGGGAACTTCTTGGGGATTTTCTTAGGGCCATGGCTTAGACTTTGTACTATCCTCAATGGAAACAAACTGGAGAATTTCATTTTCTGAAAATCGACAGTGACAACTCACAATCATTTTAGGATAAAAAAATTGAATGATATAAACTAGAAAATAATGTTCACGTGTTCTCTTAAAAAAGGTAAATTTAAAAATTTTGCCATCTTAAACCCTTTCAAAGAAGAGATGGAGATAAAAAAAAAAATCAAACAAACTGATTACCAAAAAAATACATTACAAAAATGAACAATGGCCACATAGGTGCATACAATCTCTGCTTTTAGAAACAATTCATTGTTGGAAAGTTCTATAATATTAATTATAAGTCTTTAGAATAAAAAATGTCAGAAAAGCCTGGGGAAAAACCAACAAACAAATAGGAAGTTTACAAAATATAGGTACAATTTTAGATGAAATTATCTGGAAAGGGACTTTCCAAATTAATGCCAATGTAAACTGAATACTCAAAATAGTCAGAAGTTGAATAGAATTTTAAATGGACTCAAAAAAACAAATATACATATTAATGAGACAAAGAGAATATATGATAATTTATTTAGATGCACAATAGGCATTTTTTAAAAAATCAATTCCCATTAATGTTAAAAAACACATGTATCATGAGTTCATGGATACTTTCAGAACTAAAGAGAACATTTATATATGCAACCTGACAGCCAGCATATTTTTTTAATTTAATGGGGAAATATGAGAACCATTAATGCAGAATATAGACAAGAAGGCCCACTGTCTTTACTACTATTTACCATATTATTAGAGGTATTAGCCATGCAATCAGAGAAGAGGAAGAAAGTAGAGCCTTAGAAGTAGAAGGGAAGGATAAAAATCAATTTGAAAATTATGTGTGCTATATCTGATATAGTGTGATATAATCAAATATCTGGAAAACACAAAATAATTGATGAAAACACTACACAAGCAATAAAATAATTTTATAAGATAATAGCTTATAAAACTACAATTACAACAATTAATAACCTTTATATATACAAACGAAAAAATTGGTAAATGAAATGTATTTTCATGACAGCAAAAAAAAAATCAAAATGCCTAGGCATAAGCTTAATAAGAAAAATCCTTGTATTTATTGTCAACTGATTTTTAATAAAGATACAAAGACAATTCAATGCAGAAAGAATCATCTTTTTGAGAAATGGTTCTGAGTGTGAAGAGACAACCTCTGGATTGGGAGAAAATATTTGCAAGTCATATATCTAATTACAGGTTAGAAGAAACTATCATCAGAGCCTACAGACAGACAGCCTACAGAATGGGAGAAAACTTTTGCAATCTATCGATCTGACAAAGGTCTAATATCCACAGCCTACACGGAACTTAAACAAATTTACAAGAAAAAGAACAACCCCATTAAAAAGTGGGCAAAGGACGTGAACAGACACTTCTCAAAAGAAGACATACAGGCAGCCAACAAACATGAAAGAAAGCTCATCATCACTGGTCATTAGAGAAATTTAAATCAAAACCACAGTGAGATACCACCTCATGCCAGTCAGAATGGCTATTATTTAAAGGTCAAACAACAACAGATGTTGGCAAAGTTGTGGAGAAAAAGAAACACTTTTACACTGTTGGAAGGAGTGTAAATTAGTTCAACCATTGTGGAAGATGGTGTGGCAATTCCTCGAAGACCTAGAGGCAGAAATACCATTTGACCCAGCAATCCCATTACTGGGAATATACCCAAAGAAATATAAATCATTCCATTATAAAGATACATGAACATGTATGTTCATTGCTGCATTATTCACAATAGCAAAGACATGAAACCAACCTAAATATCCATCAATGATAAACTGGATAAAGAAAATGTGGTACATATATGCCACAGAATATTATGCAGCCATTAAAAGGAACAACAAGATCATGTCCTTTGCAGGGACCTGGATGTATCTGGAAGCTGTTATCCTCAGAAAACTAATGCAGGAACAGAAAACCAAATACCACATGTTCTCACTTCTAACAGGGAGAAAGAATAGGTAATGGATGCTGGGCTCAGTAACTAGGTTATAGGATGATCTGTGTGGTAAACCACCATGGCACATGCTTTACCTATGTAACAAACCTGCACATCCTGCACATGTACCCCTGAACTTAAAATAAAAGTTGAAGGGAAAAAAAGTTATTATCCAAAATATAAAAATAAACAATAATAAGAAAACAAAAATCCCAATTTTAAAAGCAGGCAAGGAACCTGTATAGACATTTCTCTAAAGAAGACATACAAAATGGCCAACAGATACATTAAAAAATGCTCAGCATGACTAATCATTAGGGAAATATTCTCAGATTTGATATCAAAAGGTTGAATCTTAAAAGATATTAATGGGCTGGGCGCGGTGGCTCACACCTGTAATCCCAACACTTTGGGAGGCCAAGGTGGGAGGATCACCAGGTCAGGAGATCGAGACCATCCTGGCCAACATGGTGAAACCCAACCTATGCTAAAAATAAAAATACAAATACAAAAATTACCTGGGTGTGGTGGTGCACGCCTGTAATCCCAGCTACTCGGGAGGCTGAGGCAGGAGAATCGCTTGAACCAACGAGTCAGAGGTTGCAGTGAGCCAAGGTCACACCACTGCACTCCAGCCTGGCGACAGAGCAAGACCCGTCTCAAAAAAAAAAAAGATATTAATGATAAGCTGAACTCCAATCACCCTATGAAAGATCCCACAAAACTATTGAGATACTAATTCATATTCACAAGGATAGCAAAAATCTAAAAAGACTAGACTAGGTATTAGCTAAGATGTAGAGAATTGGAACCCTCATACATTGCTGTGGTATTGTAATACGGTACAGCTGATTTGGAAAACAATTTAGTATTTCCTCAAAACGATAAAGACAAAGGTACTAGTAATATATGACCCAGCAAATCCATTCCTATGTATGTACCCAAAAGAAATGAAGATATATATACACACAAAAACTTGCTCCATACAAAATGTTCACAGTAACATTATTCATAAGAGCCAAAAAGTCAAATACAAATGTTTGTTAACTAATAAATGAATAAACAAAGTCTAACATATCCATACAATGGAATGTTACTTAGCCAAAAATAGAATGAAGTATTGATTCATACTACAAATTGAATGTAACTTAAAATTGTTAAGCAAAGTGAAAGAATCATGTTACAAAAGGCCACATATTGTATGATGCCATTTATATGAAATGTCCAGAATGGGCAAGTTCATAGACACAGACAATAGAATATTAATTTCTATGAGCTGGGGAAGAGAGAAATGGGGAGTGATTGTTAATGAGTATAGTATTTCTTTTGGTGTGTTATAAATGTTCTAAAATTAGATAGTGGAGGTGTCTACACAACTCTGTGAATACACTAAAACCAATGAATTGTACTTTAAATATGCAGATTTTATGGTATTAAATTATATCTTTTAAAAATGATTATGTATGTTCTAAAAAGACTAATAACAAAATTAAAAGAAATCACAGACTATGAGGAACTGTCCATGTATCATATATTTGATAAATTAAGGACTTGTAAGCCAGCATTTATTAAGAACTCTTTTAACTCAATAAAATGAGAAGACAAGACAGACAACCCAAATTAAAAATGAGCAAATGATTTGTATACATTTCACCAAACAAAGTCAAACGAATGGCCAATAAGCACATAAAAAATGCTCAACCTAATTAGATATTATGGAAATGCAAATTAAAACCACCATGAGATGCCACTTTGTACCTACAAAAATGGCTATAATCATAAAGACACAATCCTGGATGTTGGTGAGGATTTGAAGACGCTAGTTTTAAACGTTGCTGGCAGGAATGTAAAATGTCACATTGGAAAACAGTTTGACAGTTTCTTACAAAGCTATTGATTTGTCATATGGCCCAGCAATTTCTCTCCTAAAAACATATGTGAACACAAATATTTTTATTTACATGTTCAGAGCGACATTATTCCTAACAGCCAAGAAGTGGGAACAATCCATATGTCCCTCAACCGGTGAACCTATAAAAAAAAATAGGTCTTTTCCATGCAATGGAATACTGTTTGGCAATAAAAAAAATTAAGTATCAATACATACTACAACAGATGAACCTCAAGAACATCATGCTGAGTGCAAGACGCCAGACACAAAATACTACGTGTAGTACGATTCCATTTACATAAGATGTAGAAAGAAAAACTTATAAAGACAGAAAACAACGCAGTGGTGCCTAGGATTGGGAATATTAATAAGCATGAGAAAACTTCTCAGGGTCATGGAAATATTCTAAAACTGGATTGTGGTGATGCATAACTCTAGAAATTTACTAAAAGTCAATGAATTATAAACTTATAGTGTGTACATTTTATGGCATGTAAATTGTAGTTTGACAAAGCTGTTAAAAAATAAGCCAGTTATGTGACCTTGTTAAAAACTGGAGGAAAAAAGTGAAACAAGCCAATAATTAAGAGCGTTAAGAATAGATTCAGAGCTTTTCATAAAGCATCTTCAGAAAATATCATTCAGTAATACTCCTACCTCACTCAAAAAATAACCAGAAAAATGTAAATGGAGAAAAAGAAAGGAAACTCTTCTAAAAGTTATTCCAAATATGTGCCTTATAAAGTCTAAAAAGATGATAGAGGAGGAATACTGATCAACTACCTCATTTATCTTCTCAAATACCACATTTATTACACAATATCAAAATGCTTATGCATCTAACAATGGATAATGTTAGAATGGAAGATGAAAATACGGGCATCCTCTCCATCTGGTATATTGTTTTACGTTGTCCTGGCATTTGAGTTTTAATTTATGTTTTGCTACTGTATTCCTAAATTTTCTTTCCTATGTGCAATTTGCCACAATATCTGTTGGGGAATAATAACATGAGCTGAGTAAACTATTGTTTTATTTTACTTGTGTATTATAACATGTCAAAATACTAGAATTAAAGAGACCTCCCCAAAATTACTAGTCCATACTCGTTACTGGAGAGACTTTGTCTCCTTTAGTGCACAAAACTACAAGATACCGATTTCCTTTCAAAAGAAACCAGGGGGAGATTATCAATGAGGTTTGGTTTGACTCACCTTATGCATGGCACAAAGAAAAGGACATTTCACTTTCAAGGATGGTTACAAACACGTACACTATTGGGGTCATTAAATCATTGATTTGGTGGCCAAGACTGGAAATGCAAGTGAGACAACATTTAAAAGAATGGACGATTTTCATAATCATATGAATAACACTGGTGGTTGTTTTTTGCTAAAAGCAGCAATTCCATGGCAACGATCATCTTAAGGAGAAGAAAATCTGCCAAAGAAGAGGATGCTGTTGGATTCATTGTGCCTGATGAAGAACAGGAAGGGATGATTGCAGTGAACATTTTCATGACCTGGGGCGGATGTGACAGTAAAGCCTATGCCGGTGGCAGCTGCAGCCTCGGTGCCTTCTTCAGTTACCGCCACAAAGGAACTGTGCAGGAACTTCTGGGCGTGCAACCCGGAGAGTGAGGACATTCCGGAGTAGTCAGCTTTGTGCTCACTGAAGGCATCGCCTATCCCCATGGCAGCCAGGACCGCCTCAAGGTCGTAACTGTCCTCCACCTCAAACCGGGGCAAGTGCAGATTCACCCTTCTTTCTTCCATATGCCCTGGACTAGTCCACTCTACCAATTTCTCAGGACTTATTTTATCTATTATCTATTTTCAAAAAAAGAAGAGTAGAATGGTATGATTATGAATAAAAATCTAAAACAGTGTAACACTGATTTGTGTCAGTCAGAAGTTATTAATTTTAGTAATATTAAAAGTGGAAATTTTATTTCACTAGATTATTGTCTTTATACTGCAGGTGGTCGTCTTATATTTCTTTATGTAAATTATCTGTCTGTATGTGGAAATACCATAGCATTGAATACGTTTTTAAAGATTAAAAATAAGTCATTTCTTCTTTTATCAACCTAGTATATATTTCATTTTAACTACCTCCCCTAGTCTTTGAATGCATATATATTTACATAGTTGCAATCACAGTGAATGTCCATTTTATTTGATAAAAAGTAAACTTTTTCACAATATTACATAGCTCTCCTATCTTCAAACAGCTAGATAATATTCTTATGAAGTTGATAAATTTTTCCCAATATTTAGCTATTCATTCACTTTACAAACATTTAGTCTGTATCAGGCATTGTGATAGATTTGATAGTTACTAAGGATACAAAAATAATAATTATGATGAATTTCAAACCAGGCATTCCAGTGTATTTAATACCGAAATAACTGGGTTGACCCAGAAAGGCAATTTTTTTCTTCTGCATTATTTCTTTAGGGTAATTCCCACAACTGGGGTTTGTGAATCAGAATATAAATACTCTTACAGCTCTGAGACATACTGCCATTTTGCTGTCCCAAAATATTTTCCAACTTAAAATGCTACTAACAATATTTCACAGAAGTAGCACAGCATCTGATAGTATAAGAAGATAGCAGTTATCATTTGTCGAGTGCTTTCTATGTCTTAGACCCCTTCTAGTCTACAATTCTATAATCATTCCAACACTGCTACACATTAAGCACCATGGAGCCCTCTTTAAAGATGGGAAAGTATTGAAGTTCAAGGAAGTTAAGAAGCTTCAAGGGTTAGAAAGCCACTAGAGAAACAGGGATTTGAAACAAAGCTCTCCTGATTTTCAAAATACAGGACACTAGCCACATAATTTTTTTAACCGCAAAATGGGTGAGAGTAAATCAATGGTGTAAGGGTGTAAGAAAGAAATTCAAATGCTCCAAGACTAAGAGTGTAAGAAAGAAATTCAAAAGCTCCAAGAGCCTACTGTACAGTGCGCAGAATTGGTTGTATATACGCATATGTGATTTTTTTTTTCCAGGAAAGGGGTCCGTAGATATCAACCATTTCTCAGAATGGTGGATGATCTTTATGACTCCCATATAATCTTATTCATTTCAGTTCATCCCAAACATTCTTGGATTGGTTTTTCTCAATAAACCTGACTCGTACTATTTAATGTTCCCCAGTAGACATCCATCTATAGCTGTTGGAGAGTGAGAAACACTTTCTATTTGACTCTGCTGGCCACCAGCTCCTACTTAGAAGCCCTGAGACAGAAAACCTCAGGAAATGAAAGCAAGAATAAGGAGATGTAAGCGTTTACCTTCTCCAGACCATCGATGTCGTTGGGCAGAAGCACAAACATGCTTAGGTCATTGTTTTTATATGGAATCCCTAGAATTTTGGCCTGCAAGTCCTCCAGGAAAGTGAAGCTAAAGGAATGGCTCTGTGTCATCATCTGCACAGATTTACTTGTGCTCTGCAACAAATTAATAGAGCACACAATATCAAAGGA